ACAACACCCCCAGTAAAATCAAATTGCAAAGGCTGATAGGATCAGACAAATGTAGATGCAGAAGTGGTGGTGGACAATCTTCACTCCAGAACTCTGAAATAACCAACGTGGTTGGGATATAACCAACTGCAAGTCAGACAGAAGAGATCTGTAAAAAAGCCATAGAATCAGGAATGGTTTATATGTAGAACAGCAAATGCAAATCTTATCCCTAAGAATATGAAGAGAAACACAGCATCAGCAAATATGAGCTTTAGAAATATGCAAAGCCGCTGAAAGCAAGCTGAAGGAGGAGAAAAAGGCTTGGAAACACGGATAAATAGAAAATAGGATAAATTCATCTGGGTTTTGGTTTAGTTTGAGGGGTTTTTTTGAGAAAGGTAGATTATTCTAGGATGGCAAATATTTCATTACCTGCCTTTGATTAGGCTGCTAATTTCCTAGACAAATGAAATAGTCTTCTATCAGCACTTCAGTCAAAATGTGATTGTGTGTCGTGCGGGAAAAATAGATAGGTAGGAGAAGGCGATTGGGAAAAAAGTTGTGGAGAGGGTAAGGTGTGGTTTAACAGGTTGTGTTCAGGGTCTGGAAAGAAATAACTAATGGGGTTCATCAAAGATTAATCTTGGGGCCACTATTATTCAATAAATTAATTAGAAATTCCAACATAAAATGTAGGACCTTGCAGAACCAGCAGGCAGCCAGTAGTGTGAAGGATCTGCATAACACATTGGAACAACTGCAACAACAGAGACAAAATATAATTGTGATGTATTCTTGACAAGGAGAATACAGTAACACCATCTATGAGAGGCTATATTTCCAACACAGATAGATTAGACATTAATGATGTTCCACATGACTGCTAGCATCTAAATTTGGATGTTCACCCACTTTAAAAAAAAAATTCATTCCAATGGGAATACACAAAAGAGAAGTTTTACTGGGTAACACAGGAAATGGAGTGCTATTGCCTGAGAGAGACTGCCTGGCTCACATAATTAATAAAATTTGAGAGGGAATGTGTACCTATACAATGTCAGAAGGAGGAATAGGAGCTCATTAAGATATAGCAGTGACTGTAAAAGTGCAAATGAGTATAATATTAGATATCAAATACAGTAAATCTGAAAACTAGAGGTTAGAAAAAGGTTTTCAAATGGCAGAGGAGTGAATTCTTGGAACAGCTTCCTAATGTAGCATGACACTCCCCCTAGTCCTAATTTAAAGATGGATTTGCAGAGTTTCCAAAACAAACCTACATTTCACTGTCTGCAGTTAAGGGAGATGGACTGAATGACACAGGCAGCTCTTTCCAGTCCAGTGTTCCCAGTATTTGGAAACAGAGTGAGGAGTCCGAGGATTAAGGAGAGCAAAGGTTGATGTCAATGTTTTCAAGTAACTCAGAGGAATGAGACTTGAGACTTGAATTGAGGTTGGACAACAGATTGGTTTGGTGCTAACTAAAGGTTTTACATGTTTATGCCTACAAATTACTTTATAAAGAAATAAAAAATGCACAAGCATTAGAGATCATGTGTTAATCGGATATTTTTCACTGTCTTGTAGCAGCCAAGAAAGTTTAGTAGGACCTTGAGCTCTTAGCTTAGTTTTTCTACAGTTGGGTCATCAATCCATTTCTGGAGAGATTATTTCCTGAAGCAGACAACAATTATTTCCTGAGATGAACCGACTATTTGTTATTGTGCCTTAAAATTAGACCAGAAAATTTTCCTGTCCCCATTTAAATGATGTTTGAAGATCATGCTAACACGACAAAGCAAGGGAATGCAAAGCACAGGCCTCGCATTCTGTTCTTACCCAGCACTACAGTGACTTTTCTGGTGAGTAATTCAAATAATAATACTTATCACTTACTCTGCACAGTGCTCCAAAGCGCTTTACAAATATTTATTGCTAGTTAATCTGGAAAAAGTATGATTTAAGGCCAGCTTCTCGTAGCTTGTGTGACAAACTTAATGTCATTTGAATCAACTCCGTTTGTATTTAATAGGATAGAACTGCAGCACTTTAGTTTAAACACTATTGTTCCATTAAAAGCCAATTACAGAAATTCAGCTTTCCCCGAACTCATAGAGGACAGATTTTCATTTAGTAAAAGAAAAAAAAAAAAATCTATTAAATGCTTCACCCGAATTTAGTGCTCATAATTCCGACCAAAGGCTTAAGAGCCTTTTCAGGCGCGGCACAAAGCGATTCGCCGCGAGGCGGTGCCGCAGTACCGCCTGCGGGCGGCAGAGGGAGCCAGAGACGCGTCCATTCGCCACGAGGCGCCGGGACCGCAAAAAAAAGGCCACAGAAAAGTGTCACCTTTCCGTGCTAAACACGCGCACAGCGGCGTCCGGCTGGCTTCCCGCGCAGGCAAATGCGAAAGGCGACTTTTCGGGTTTAAATTTTATGCGGGTAAATCTCGATGTGTTCCATGCTGATCGTTCTGTATCAAAAGTCAGATCAGATGGTGGCACAGCAGGTTGGAGATCACTAAAGTAAACTCGGGGCAAACCCAAGCACAGACACAAGGTGAGTGAAGAACGGGTTGAGAGCAGCTCCAAGGAAGAGGACTTGTGGGTGTTGGTTGATGCAAAGCTCAACATGACCCAGCAATACATTTGCAGCCCAGAAACCCAACCATGTCCTGGGCTGTATCCAAAGCAGCGTGGGCAGCAGGCTGAGGGAGGTAAACCTGTGCCCCCTCCACTCTGGTGAGACCCCACCTGGAACACTGCATCCAGCTCTGTGTTTCCCAATATACAAAGGACATGGACCTGTTGGAGCAAGTCCAGAGGAGTACATGAAGGTGCCCAGAGGGCTGGAGCACCTAGTGTGGAGACAGGCTGAGAGCTGGAGCTGTTCAGTCTGGAGAAGAAAAGGCTCTGGGAAGATCTTAAAGACTCTTCCAGTGCCTAAGGGTGCTGCAAGAGAGGGAGAGGGTTTTGGGGCATGTAGTGATAGGAGCAGGCAGAATGGCCTTAAACCAAAAGAGGACAGGGTTAGAGATTAGGAAGTAATTCTTCCCTGTGAGGGTGGTGAGGTCCTGGCACAGGCTGCCCAGAGAAACTGTGGCTGCCCCATCCCTGGAAGTGTCCAAGGCAAGGTTGGATGGGGATTAGAGCAACCTGGTCTAGGGGAAGTTGTCCATGCCATTGCCACGGACTTGGAACGGGATGGTCTTCCACGTCCCTTCCAACCCAAACTATTCTGCAAATCTCTGATTCCATGAAAAAGAACTTTTGAATACTGCTACAAGAAGTAACCACAAGAATCATGTCATAATACGTTGACTCAGTGACCATCACTGCTTCAGTTTTCTCCAAATCTTTGAATGTGCTCAAACAAGCCCATTTTAGAGTTGTTTCCTCTATATGTAGTTTCCTTTGCTATAGAATAAGCATCTTTTCTGAACCCAAATGAGAGATAGTGATTTGTGGCTCCATCACATCCACACAATACATTTTGCAAGACACCTTGCAACAGAGCTAGGAAAGGAACCAGTGGGATATAACAACTAAACAACTGCAATTATTATCTGGTAAAATCATGGCTGCTATCAAGTGCAATGAGGGGGCTTGCAAAGCTGTTTCCATCGACAAGGATTTTAGCGGTTGAAAATACAAAAGTGGTCAAAAGGTAACCTGAACACAGACCTAGTAAGAAGATGAGACTGAGAATTCAGAGGAAAGTAATCTGCAAATGACAGGCAGGGTTTGGAAACCGAAACCACTACCTGCCAGTGGCAGAGAGCTTGCATATCACATCACCTGTGAATTACTGATTAGCAAACACAGGCACTGCCAGGCTGGACACAGGTGTACCTGTTATGGGTCATGGTGGTAACGCTTCAGCCCTAGGCCGTGTGGGAGGCACGTGTGCCAAACATGGGGTCACCCTCCAATGCAGCCTCCTGCATTCAAAACTTTATTTCCCCTTTCAAGGTCACCACATTACAAGCTCAAAAGCACAGAGACAAGTGTTTCAGGCTTCTCAAGCCTACCTCAAAATTGTGTCCAGACAGTGGTCATTAACTTATGTTAGAAAATAAATCTAATCTCAGTGACTTCTTTGGAGATGGGTCCTGCAGCCCTCTGGGCTCCCAGGAGGCTCATGTGCCATTACCCCGACCCCACTGCCTTGCATAGCTCGAGCCCTACACAAGGAGCCCACCTGGACATGACCCTGTCCCTGTGCCTGCTCGAGGGGACGCCATGCCCAGGTGACAGATGTGTGGTGTCCCCAGGACAGACTGAGTGTCCCAAGAGCAAACTGAGTGTACTCAGGGCAGACTGAGGGTTCCCAGGATGGGCTGCAGGACCCGGCCGTCTTGCAGCGTCTCCTCTCAGCTGGGGAGAAGAAACACGTCGGGTTTCCCCACAAGGACAGTGGCTGCCCATCCATGTGTGGGTATCCGGGGGGCCAATCCACCCTAAAGAAAGGGACCTGTGACAGGAGTGTCCTATAAAACCGGGACTGGGGCCGTCGAGTCCAACTCTTCGCCCGTCTCCCTTTCCACACCAGCGGTCGGGCAGCCCGTGGTGGCTCCGGGAGGCGCATCCCGGCTCGGGCTGGGCGGCTGCGGGCGGAGGAGGGGCCGCCGCCTCTTTAAACTTGCCGGGAGGGCCGGGCTGCCCCGCCCGGGGCAGCGGGGGTTCCTCAGCGCCCGGCGGGGACGCGCCGCCCCCCGCCAAGGCTCTGCTCCACGCCGGCCCGGGCGGGCGGTCCCCGGTGCCCGGCAGCGCCATGCGGGGCAGCGGGGCGGCGGGGCCCGGCCGCGGGCTGTGAGGGGACCCCGCTCTGCCCCCGGGGGGAGCCGGGCAGCGCCGCCACCTCCCGCCTCCCTCATCCCGCCTCCCTCATCCCGCCCGCCATGGCCGCCCGCGGAGCCGGGCGGCGCGGAGCCGAGAGGAGCGGCAGTGCCGGGGTCTGGCCGCTGCCTGGCAGCGCCCCGTGAGCGGGGACAGCGCCCCAGGAGCGGGGACAGCGCCCCGTGAGCGGGGACAGCGGGCGGCGTGTCCCTGCGCCCGGTCCTGCCCCCCCGTCCTCCTCCCGGAGCGGGGATGAGCGAGACCCGCGCCAGGGGAGTCGCCGCCTAGACCGGCAGCCAGGATGGTGCCCCTGCAGCCCCTGCCCCTCGTCGTGGTCCAGGGCGTCCTCCAGCTCGTAAGTCTCCCATCCCTGCGGCACCCGGGCTCTCCCGGGGGGGCTTCGGGGGCACCGGCGCCCTTCCACCGGGTAGCGCGGTCCCCTCGGACTGGCTCCGAGCAGCCCCCCCAAACCATCCTTCCTGCAGCCCGCGACCGATTATTATTCTTTTTTTTTCCCTTTTTCTTTTCTTTTTCTCTCTTTTTTTTTTTTCTTTTAATTAAGCGAGCTTGCTTCTCGCCGGGCTGTTTTGGGATATGGGACGCTCGCGTGCCCGTGCCCAGCGCGGCCGCGGGGGCCGGGATGCGCCGGGAGCCGCCGGGTACCGCGGGCGGGGACGGGGGGATATGTGTGTGTGTGTGTGTGTGCCGAGCATCACCCGAACTGTCCGCTCCCGAAAAGTTTTCCGCTCGCCTCAAGCGCCTCTTTTCGTGTACGAGACATAGCGAGTTGTGCAGGTAGAGCCACCTGCGCTTGGGAAGCTCCCCCGTTAGTCTCGGCTTGCTGCAGCGCAAGCCAGGTGGTTTTTAATTTTTATCAGAAACTGTGCGACCTGCCAGTATTACGCTAAATATTCCTCTGCATGCGGTGGGGGAATGCGGGGACTGACGTGGTGGCAAGGTGAGATGCAGACTGTGAAATTCAGGGCTCTGAAGGGAGGGAGGCAAAACGAGGTGCGCGGCTGGAGGCGGGCGAGGAGCTCAAGTTCTCCCACGCCAGGAGTGCCTCGTTCGTGGAGCACTGATGGTGGGAAACAAATGGATTAATGCTCCTGTTCAGGCGGCAGGAGGGGTTAAAAAGAGGAAAAAAATGTATTTGTAGAAGAGTTTGGCCATCTTCACTTTAATTTCGAAATCCCATTTTAACTTGGGGTGAGTTTTGGTTTTACTGCCAAATACCTCCGCTGCAAAGTTATACCTCTCTTCCCCAGCTGCCTTGGACCCGAAAGTTTGTCACCGTAGTCAATAGGGAGTGTGTAATAAACCTTGAAGGGATTAAACACCCTCCTTAAGAACTGGAGTCTAGTATTACAGCGTGAGGTGATTGATTAGTTTTTGAGGAAGCTTATGTCAAATTCTAATCCGGTTCTGGATTGTGCTTGTCGTGTAATGTTTTTTGCTCCAGCACTTTATCATAGCAATGAAGTAGCGAGCTGCAGCCCTGCGATAAGGCACACATTTCTTTCACACTCGCATCCTTTTGGACAATAAAAGGCTGTTTACATTCTTCACATTCCTGCAGCCCAGTTTCCAGCTAAACAACACGCAGGGGTGAGAGATGGGAAAGCAGAGCAGCAAATGGATTACAAAGTTGCTGAGCAGAAGGGAACTGAATAAAAACGCTCCTTCCTCATGCCTGCAGCCTCTCTCACCCCATCTCACACCTTCCTCTTTATTTTTGTTTTAAGAGATATCAAAAGGGATCGATTTAAACCTGAATCATCAGGGATCGGGTCTGTTACAGAGTGTTTTATGGATGATGTTGGGAAGTTTCTTGCTGTGGTTTTACATGCTGTAAGTGAAGGCTGGCTAAAAGAAGCAAAGTTGCTGCCTTGAATCAAACAAAAATCATAAACAGTCACTGAAAGTTCCCAGGTGGATGTGGCACTCAGCTCACCCAGGAGGATTCATTTTTTTTCTGCATTCTTTATATACAAACCAACAAGGTTTTGAACTCAGTTATATAGCTTATATAAATTAGCTTATATAGCAAATTAAAGCAAAATGAGAATGTGTAAGATTTTTGATGCATTTTAGGCTTACCTTGTAATGCTAACCCACTGCTAAAAAGTTGTGTAAATACCTTTCAGCATGGTCTTACCAGAACATCTGGTTAACATCCGGTTAAAGTTTTTGCTTACTATAAATTAAAATATTTGATGTTGGTGGTAATGTATTGAATACAAGTCTCTGCTATTCTTTGTTCTCTGGCCAGTATTTGTAGGGACTGGTGGCTTCTCGGAGTCTGATTAGGAGCTTTAGCAGGCAGGCATTGGTGTTACTGGTTCTTGACTTTTTCTTTCTATTTTTAACCAAAGATCAACATGGTTAATATTATTCAAGAGTAAAGGCTCAGCATTTCAGCCAAGAAATAAAAAAATCATTGGTTTCAGTGTTGCAGTACAGTAGCATTCTAGTAAGCCATAAATGCTATCACCAAACCCTTTCTGATGGGGCAATCTTAATTTTTTATAAAACATGTAAGAGGTGTCAGAATGTGAAATATTTTGGCACTGTATTTCAGTGAAGATAGAAGTACCTTTTATTTAATAAATTGAATTTCGAATAGTGCCTTGCCTTTCAAATAGCAAAGTGTGCTGTCTGCTTACCTACTTCCTAAAGATGCATAAATTAGGATGAAATCCATGTGAAACTTCATAAATTTGAGGAGATTATGGCAGAGAGTCTCACTGAATTTCTGAAAGCAGTGTTAGATGATTTTTTTATATGCTGTTCTGTCAGAAGTTCATGTTTAGTACCTTTAATAGAGTGTAGACGTATTTTTGTAACATGTTCCTGGATTATTATTTTGATTACTAGTTGGTGTACCAGTATGCATGCAGCATAAGCACATATGTATTTCCTCAAATATTTTGCATATTTGGGCATATGTAACAGTAAGGAAGCCTGCTGTAGAGTCAGATTAAGGTGCTAACTTGCTCCTGTATAAATGGGTTAATTTTAAAAGTCAGGTTTACCTTATGTTGACAGTATGGAGCAAAACAACAATTTGCAATGCACAGCCAGTACTTGTCTGGGCTGCTATTGATAAGAAGATGAAGAATTGTTGTGTTGTGTTATCACTAATAGGTACTCTTGCTTTACCATTAATTTTCACTATGCTTTTCCAATTGTCACGTAATTGCTGAATGCCCTGTTAGTTACCTCTTCACAAATAATAGAGTTCTACATGTTGAATATTGAAGAGAGTGAAGTATTAGGATAATGTAGTTTATAGTATTCCTGATAGTGTTTTATTAAGTAAGCTTTAAATACCTTAAAGGAAAGGGGGCTTCTCCTACTTACCTGGGAATATTACTTGTCATTTTAAAGAAATCTTGTTGAAAAAAAAAATAAAATGCTGTCAGTATCCATTATTTCCTTTTCATGTTATTAGTTTGCACATTTAATGCGTCATGTTTCATAACGTTGTTTAAAATAGCTTAGATGGGGTCTTCAAAATGCGTGATATTTCCCTCTTTCCTTTAGGGAAGAAAAGAAATAAAAGCAGTATGCAGGTTTTGAATCGAGAAGCAGAGTTAGTTACTGCTTTGTCTTGGCGAGGTAGTTACAGACAGGCACTCAGGCAGGACCTGTGGTTCTGTAGGGTCATCAGGCACCATAACTATTTGCACAGTCTTGCATCTTTGAGGTCTGAAATTAAGGAAGGATCACAGCAGCATTTTCCAGTGCCTACAGTTAAGTTGCACCAGCATTTCTATCAAGAAACTCCCTTCTAACATTATCATTGGGCAGAGTTGTTGCTGTGTTAGAAATCCAGAAATCAATCATTTTACAAACCCTTAAAAGCAGTTGATTTTTTTTTTCCCCAGTAGTGTTTGCATAGATAAGAAATAATTGGGAAAAAATGACCAAGGGTGTTATTTTAAGACTTTCCTCCACCAATTTGAGAGTACAGTGTTTGATATGAGGGAAATTCAGTGATGGATTGTTTGTCTTGGAATTTCAAGGGCTGAAATTGTCTAACAAACTGGTTTTTGTTAAAGTTAATGAAACAAAATTTTTACAGAAGTTTTTTTTTAACAGAATTTAAGGTTCTTAATAACTTTAAGCTGAGAAGAATATTTGCTACAGTAGAAGACATTGCTTCATAAGAAGAAATCACTTGAAAACTGAGATAACACTGCCTTTCCATTTAAAATATGTATACCCTGTAAGGCGTAGAAATACAGAGGTATGTTCCTCCTGGCTAATTTTGTCTTCTAGCCCTGCAAACATATTCCAGGTAATGTGCCCTTGCAGTGAGAATCAGAAATAGGCACCATGCAAAACTCTCGACTCCATTTCAGAAAGGTAAATGCTTCCCTCTGGTCATCTTGAAGCACACGGCTGAAATTCCATCCCCTTTAATTTCAGGGGGAAATTTGTCATGAAATATATTGGGCCCAACCTTTCATTTGGTTTATTTTGTTATTTTTCTCGATGCTGTGGGCATTCTAAGCCTATGTTTCATTCTTGTGTATTAGAGTAATGTGAGTAACTCAAGGAATTCAGGCAGTTTGCAGTTGAAGACAGATCAACAAATGCTGGTTTCAGAAGTTTGAGAATTTATTCCCCTGAATGAGAAGTTGTGTCTTAAGGTGGAGGGGGCCAGGTTTAGTTTACAGAGGGGGTTCACAACTCAACCTGTCCTCACATCATGTCTGTTGACCTAGTTCTGTGGAATTGGTGGCTGATGTTTTTCAATTTGACTGAAAATTGTTAGGTTGACTGGGACACAGAGAGGTTAAGGATCCTGCTTAAAATCTGTACAGAAAGTCTGTTTGATGTCCAGTAGACCACAAGACACTCCAGGCTTCCCTAGCACAGGGCAAGTAAAATCCAAGTCTCAATCTTTCCATGTGTAACACGCAAGGAGTTTTTCTGCCATTGTAAAGCACTTTGAGAGATGTCAGAGATGTGCTGTAAGTGTAACCGACAGGGAAGTGAAATGGAAAGATCAGTGGAGCCCAACTGCTAAACTGGGATGCACTGATCACTCCCACCTTCCTGGTTTTCCTCCTGCACCTTGGTTTCTGCAAGAAAGGAACTCAGACATGGGAGTCAAAAAGGAGCAGCAGAAACCCCTCAGTAGAGGGACATTCAGGGTATCAGAAAGACACAATTCCTCTCTAGTTGCACCAATCTCCTGTATTGTTGAAAATTTTACCTTTAGTCAGCACTTTATAAGCCAAAGTATGCTGCTTCTTGTATGAGAAGAAGCAAGAGCTGCTCAGCATGATGTGGGGAATGAGCACTGGGGTGTCAGCAATGCATGGTCTGTGGGTGAGGTGTTAA